GCCCTGCGCGCCGCCACATGAGCCGGTCCCTGACCGCCGGATCCGCTCCACGCCAGGCCTGGAGACGCTGCCGGAGGAGCCACCCACCGGACCTGCTCCCTAGGCAACCGGGACAACGCCGCCGGCCGCCGAGCAGACCGAAGAAGAGCCAACACCATCCTCCACCGCGAGCACCCGGCGCGACAGCAGCACCGCGCCCAGGCCCAACCACCACGCTGCCCGAGCGACCGCAGCGGCCGTCGTCGCCACGCAGACCAAGGCCGCCGCCTCGGGGCTCAAGCTCCGCCTCGCTCAACGCTACGGCCGGAGATCCCCCTCCCCTTAGAGGAACGGGGCCCGCCGCCACCGTGGCAGGGGAGCAGCGGAGGGCCGGCCTGACGGCGCTGGGATCCGGGGGCCCTCGGGTTGCCTCGCGAGGGAGACGACGCGAGGGAGAGATTGATGTTTTGCTTTCTTTTGTTCAAGGTTCATGATTATTTCAGCAAACACTGTAAGGTAACACACAACTACATAATTTAGTAAGCTAATTGGGATGCTAAGTTAGTAAAGGAGAGCAACCGATGTCATAGCATATAAAACGAGGTCAAAACCAAATTAACCCGTGAGAGTGTTAATTTCAAAAGGTCATGTCAATGTTGTACTTCTGGCCGCTAATGGCTTTAAATTTATAAAGCCGTGCTCTTCTTGAGTTTTTTTAGTAGAAGAAAAAGAGTGTGATGATGTGATAAATTTGGGACCCTGATAAGTGTCACACATGTGGAACGAACACATGGCAACTCGGAACTTTTCGATAGCAAGTTTAGTGGCGTGACGATGGTAATTTTAGTTGTCAAGCATGATGATTTCTTTCCGGATCACAAGTTTTGGTTTTTTAGTATGTTTTTTCCTTACAACTCTAGTTATCTATACCTAATAATAAAGAGGCTATTGCTTCTGGCGGTACGTCATCGAAATTGCCTCTAAAGTTGTAGAATGTCATCCACCGATGCCACCTATAAATGATAAAAAAAACATTTCACACATGGGAATCCCAGCCTGGACCGGCCCATACAGTAGGAACCTACTAAGACACTGCGCATCTGTTTGGGCCGGCCTATGTCCGGGTGGTCTGTTTTCCAAATTTCATTTTCCTTTTCCACATTTTTTTCTATTTAAAATAATTTGGGACTTCAAAAATTAGCATTAAAAAAAAGAAAATCTATACTTAATAATAAAGGACTATTGCTTCTGGCGGTACGTCATCAAAATCGCCCTAAAGTTATAAAATATTACCCCGAAATCACTAATTAAGGAGTACTCCTTGCGGAGATCACTCCAACTTTCCCAGGTTGCGACAAGTGGCGCACAGCGCGCCACTTGTCGCAACCTGGGTGTTTTCCCTTTCTTCGTAGATTCGTTTATTCAAAACGTTTTATCTCTTAAACCGTGCGTCGAAATCTCGAACCACTTTTGTCGTTGGATTCCTCGCGTCGAGATCTTCAAAATTAGATCCCATGTTGACAGGTTTTGACGAACTTTTTTTCACGAAAAAACTGACAAAAAAATGAACCAGGAACACGGGTTTTTTTCCCTTTCCGAAAGAGGCACGCCTGCGCCTCTGATGAAATCACAACCGTGCCTCTCGTGAAAGAAAAAAAAATAGAAAACGCGTTTTTTTTCTTTCCGAAAAAGGCACGCCCGTGCCTCTCGCGAAATCACAACCGTGCCTCTCGCGGAAGCAAAATCGTGCCTCTTGTGAAAGAAATAAAAACAGAAAACGTGTTTTTTTCCTTTCCGAAAGAGGCACGCCTGTGCCTCTCACGAAAGCACAACCGTGCCTCTCACGGAAGCAAAATCGTGCCTCTCGCGGAAGAAAAAATAAGAAAACGTGTTTTTTTCGTTTCCGAGGAGGCACGGTCGTGACTCTCGCGAAAGCACAACCGCGCCTCTCGCGGAAGCAAAACCGTGCCTCTCGTGAAAGGAAAAAAAAAACAAAAAACACGTTTTTTATCGTTTCCAAGAGGCACAGCCGTGCCTCTCGCGAAAGCACAACCGTGCCTCTCGCAAAAATAAAACCGTGACTCTCGCGAAACGCTAGGGAAGACTGGTGGAAAACCAAAATGTCAAAAAACCCCGGGAAAAAACCGTTTGAAAAGTTGAAAACGCGTGCGGAAAAATAAGAAAAAAAATTCCGAGGGAGCGCCCAGAACGCGACACGTGTCGAAAAGCTGAGAGCGCGCCAAGTGGCGATGATCGTTGCGAGGCTCCCGAAGGAGCGCTCGTTAATTAGTTGCTCCCATATTACCCACCTACAGGTCATAAAAAAACATTTCACACATGGGAATCCCCACCTGGGCCGGCCCATACAGTATGAACCTACTATACCGCGCTCTATGTGCTGGGGGAAGACACAACGCATATGTTTGGGCCGAACCATGTCCGGGCGGCCTGTTTCTTAAATTTCATTTTTTTACCTTTTGTTTTCCTTTTCCGTCTTCGTTCTTTTCTACATTGAATAATTTGGACTTCAAAAATGTACTGAAAATAAAAAAAAGAAAAAAATTTGAAAAAAATTCTTTAATAATTTATAAATGTTTGTGAATTCAAAAAATATTCCTGATTTTTTATTCAAAAATATTCTTAATTTTGGAAAAAATGTTGGTAAATCAAAAATATTCATGATTTTTAAAAAAGTTCATGTATTAAAAATGTTAATGAAATTGGAAGTAAATTCACCAATTCAAAAAATGTTCATGAAGTTAAAAGTATCCTAAAAATTCAAAAACTGTTTGTTACTTACAATATAGTTTATTGATTCAAAAAATGATCATGCATTTCAAAAAAATGTTCGTGAATTTTCAGAAATTGTTCCTACCAAACAATTTCCAAAAAAAAATTCGTCGGCCCTAGAAATGTTCGCCTATTCATGAAAAATATTTAAAAGATGTTCTCAATGTATACAAAATTATTTGGAAGTAGTATAAAATGTTAAATTTAAGAAATGTTCAAGATTTTAGAAAATATTCTAAAATCTGTAAAAAAATCTCATGAATTTGAAAAAAGTTCATGATTTCAGGTATGTTCATAAGTTTTAAAAAATATTCATAATTTTCAGATATTGTTAATGGTTTCACGAAAATGAGAATGATAGTGTTTCCCGGTAATGCAGCAAAATGTGTCTATGGTCATTGCAGATTATGCTTTGTTTTCTTGTTGCAACACGGGTTGTTTTGCTAGTAAAAATATCAGGACCGGAGTGCTTCGTGTCACATGTGTGCATTTATCATTTGGATACATTTGTCCGTAGGAAAAAATTGGATCCTGTTCTGAAATAAACCCCTCCGAAGCCCAAACCCCTCTCCAGTCCTCTCCCCTCCTGAAGAATCCCCCAAATCTGACCGGCCAAAATATGGACGGCGATGGACTACCGCCGCCGGCCGCGGCCGCGGCTCCGGCCCCATCGGTGGCGTCGGTGCTCGGCGACGACGACCTCTTCCGCGAGATCCTCCTCTGCCTCGGCTTCCCCAACCTCCTCGTCCGCGCCGCCCTCGTCTCCAAGCGGTGGCTCCTCCACGCCTCCGATCCGGTCTTCCTCCGCCGCTTCCGCGAGCGCAACCCGCCCCGCCCGCTCGGCTTCTACGCCGGCTACCCCGGCCGGTATCAGTTCGTGCCGCTCCCGCAGCCCCGGGAGCTGGTCGCCCTCTCGCGCCGCCCAGCCTCCCCCTGCGACGGCGCCTTCGCCCGCGGAGCCGAGCGACTCATGCACTGTCGGAACGGCCGCCTCCTCACCGCGTTCCGCAGCCGCTGGCGCCAGCTACGCGGCGGCAGATTCAAGCACTATCTCCTGGCGCCACTGCTCGCCGGGGAGTCCCCAACCGTCCTCCCACCGGCACCGCCGCCCACCCATGAGCGCGCTCAAGCGAGATTCACCCAGATGTTCCTACCCGGGGATGGGGGCCGCGACGGCATCACCTTGGTGCATCTCTTGATGGTCGGCCGAAAAGTCTATGCGGAAGTGTACGCCCTGGGATCCAGCGGATGGGGCGTCCCTGGCACCGCGGTGATGGAGATAGAGCACCCGCATGGCACAACCTTCCTGGAAGAATTGCTGCCGCCCGTTCATGGCAAGGTCTTCACGCTGACCACCTCTGGGTACATCCTGGGTCTTGATTTGGCCACGTCAACCTTCTTCACCCTCGAGCTCCCAGTTGGAGTGCGGCGCAGTTACCTGCTATCCTGTGCGGAGGATTCCGGGCTTTATCTTGTCAGTGCAGACGGATTTCAGCTCAGTGTGTGGCTGAATGGGATGACCGGTGACGGCCATGGTGCAGCTGGTTGGTTGCTGGTGGACACATTTAGTATCCGTGAGGGATGCACACGTTTTGCTGATCAAAAGCAGACTTCGATGCCACAAGATGGTGATTTCCTTCGTGTTGCTGCAGTCGGGGACAATGCCGAGTTTGTATTCTTGGATTATGCAACATATGGTGTTGTCCTTTATGTTCATCTGAGGAGCAGGGTGGTTGCGAAGGTGTATGAGCAGGCACCATATGACCATGGTAATGTTCATATAAGCCGCATACATATCTCTCCCTTTATGATGATGTGGCCACCTGTTTTCCCTGCACTGAACAGAGGACATGATAAAGAGCAATTATCTCAGCGTGTTTGATCTTTGTTATATCGTCACTGGGTACAACTTCTATAATAGCAAGCTATGTTTCTCTGATGAGGTACTGAAATGGATGACCAATTTATATATTCAGATGGTTTTGACTGCATCTCGTCTAACTAATGTATACTCCCTCTGTCCCAAAATAAGTGCCTCAACTTTGTACTAACTTTAGTACAAGGCTATACTAACCTTAAGACAGTTATTTTGGGACGGAGGGAGTACCATGTTACTGTGTTTACTCCTTTAGTATTTCTCACTCATTACTCTGCAATCAACTTGTGTAGTTCCTTCTGCTATTTGGCCAATAAGTATGAGTAATGGACATTTGTGCCACGTCATATAACACTATATGTTGTACTTGGTTCCGAGTTTGTTAACAAATATTAAGATTAACATTGCAAATGTGTAGACATTCGTGCCACGTCATATAACACTGTATGTTGTAGTCATTTAAGTTGGATCTTAAGAACTTGAAGTTTGCAGAAGTGCATTGCAAGTTATCCAGCAGAACTACACTGAGTCTAGAGTCTTCTGAGATTGACCACAGTGTGTATAAGATATTACTTATATGACCACTCAGTCGTTAATAACGATTCTCTGGCAATGATTACTTGATTAGTGCATGGACGGCCAAATGCAACTGGAAGAGAAATAACTGAAAGTACAGCTTGTGGCACAAGTGCTCATATAGGTTCCCGGTCGTAGCTAACTGTATGCTTTTTGGTCTCTTCCAAAAGCTAATACTTGGTCTCCCCGATTTGCCACACCTCACAGTGATTCCCTTACACATCAATTGAGCCTGAAATACTGCACCTAACACTTTCTCCTCAACTTATAGTTTTCTATAAATGCTGGGTCATCTGCCTCACAAAGCTCAAGAAATAACAGCATATTACTAGCTCAAATGAAGTAAGCTGATCAGAGTTTGGATCTGAAGAGAGTATGATTCATGGACTTGTTAGGAACATGAAGTATTGACAATGTTTGGCAAGTTCCTTAGCTCTACATGATTGTTGTAACTAATCCCCCTTGAGCTGTTGACGCTCCAATGCTAATGCCTCTTCTCAGAAACAAATCCAGGAAAGAAAAACTACGAGCTACGTACTAGTCTCATCTCTGGTGGGGAACAACAACCACTACTTACTGGTAAGAACTTCCATCAACAGTGAGTGGAGAATATAGATCTAGCTATGCAGCATTTTTGTTCATCTCATTTGTGATTTCCTAGAAGACCTGCAGGTGGTTCTGCAACCTCCATTGTATTGTGCTCGCCGCGTTCTAAACCAGCAGTTGGTGGCCTTCGTGTGACTAGCACCCCGAGAGTTTCCATTGTCAGCAAATGATACATGACAGTGGAAAAGTGAACGCTGAGCTGCACTGCTGCTGCATGGTGTTTGCTCCGTGCCTTGAGCTTTCTCACTGAGATAAACGGTGTCAAGACTTTGGCAGACTCGATTGCTTTGATCTTGAGTTTTCTGCCATTTCCATGCTGAGCGGTCCTGACAAACTTCCGGTTTGTGTTGTAGTCTGTCGAGATTCTGGAATCATTGCATCTCCATGAACCTGGTGATGTGCATTCCCTTAAAAAAGCTGCTGATGTATTCTGTAGCCGAACATCCCCAACCAGGGTTTTCAGGCTGCTGCTTTCTTGAGAGTAATGGTTTCTGTGTGATGTCCCGAACTCGATTAGGGGATCACAACTCACTAATTGTCCATGAATTTGAGGTACAAGGGAGATTGGAGTCTGGGGTAGGGAGAGAGAGAGACAGACAGACAGACTTGGAGAAGGGGGAGAACAGAGAGATACAGTTCAGAAGATACAGTCTGATCTGTTCCAAAAACTAGCTTCCCGAACCTGCTACTCCCCTACTAGTACTCCTTCCTGTCGCTCCACTTGACTTGGGCTGCAGCCCACCTCGCGTCAGGCCCACTGGCTCCTTTATACTCCCGCGTCCCTCTTCCCTGACTTGATCTTGTGTCGTCAGAGTCACACTGCTGACATTCTGTCCCTCTGCTCACTTGCATGCTTCCTGCTCTCACCTTGCACAGGTAGTGTTTTTAGCCCACATTTGTCTTGCATAGGATTCTTGGCATCTTTAGCGCCATCATGGTTTGACAACCATTCAGCTGAGCTAGGAGTTTGAACTTGACTCATGTGCTGATATTTGGTTTCTTCTTTTTAACTAGCTGCTTCAGTCTAGAAATATTATGGTTCTCCTCCAGACATTGTTGATTCTTCTATCCATATAAGCCGGAACTGAAATTAGTGGTTCCTCGTAATTCAGTTAGTTTGAGTAAACAGAGAGTACTTGTGGATGTAGGCATCCAAGGTTCTCCACATGTGCATATCTGAGTTTTGGGAGAAGGGAGTGTTTGTAAATCAAGCTCCCTAAGCGCTTCAGTAGCCCGGGCAAAAAGTCTCACATTTTTTTCATCATTGCAGTTGTGAGGTATAGCTTGGAGAAGATATTTAGCTTGAGCTACCTTTCCAACTTCATCATGCAGATAGCTGAAATACCTCTTTGTTATAATCAACTTCTGTAGCAAGGGCTTGCCTGGAAATATTGCATGAGGCGATGACACAAAAAAAGAGCTCACTTCTACTTGTATCAACATTTATCAGTGCTGAGAACAGTCATTACTCTCAGCATCCTTGATGCGGACTGAGAGAAATATAATGTTGGCAGTACTATTTACTCAGGTCTTCTTACAGATAACACCAACATAGGATTGAGAATTTCAAGAGAATAATACAAACCATGTGTAACCAAACTCATATATATCAGTTTTGTATGTAGGCCCATCCCCAACATAGATATATACCTGTAGAGCATTTCAGCTTCCTCATAGTTCTCAGCCTGCATATAGGCGCAGAAGGGTGTTTGCAGAGACTTAGACTGTCAGCATTTCAATCTGCTCTTTTGTCCCACTGCATTTCTGGTTGAACATAAATATGATTTGTATGAGGGAAAAAAAATCTTGGTCAAGTATTCATGCAAAACTCCATTGTGGGTTAATTATTAGATAATGACTTTTACACATGGGATTGCGCAATATACTGAACTCGTTCATTGTCTACTAGTATAATGAAACCATAAAACTGGCTTCGGCAGAAAGTAAGCCTATATGCATATTTTTTTTACAGGACTGAGATACTTTGTACAGGTCAAGAATAATATTTTCGACAGACTCGTGAGCTTCACCAGGACAATGGTCATGGAAGGATCTTGTCATTTTGATGGCCTCTCCAGCCCGATCTGCTTTTGAATAACGGCCCAGAACACTACAAAAACACAGGTAACAACGTTGATAATAGCATAACTTCAGGTGAAATGAGCATCTGTTGCAGCTACTAGTTAGAAACAAACATAAGGTACATTATCAAATCTTGTCACACAGTTTTGATACTCCCTCCGTCCCAAAATTCTTGTCTTAGATTTGCCTAGATACGGATGTATTTAATACTAAAACGTGACTTGATACATCTGTATTTAGACGAATCTAAGACAAGAATTTTGGGATGGAGGGAGTATAATCTTTTGATACAACATATTTTTGGTAATAAGAGGCATATCCTCAAACCAGGAATTCCCGGAAACAAGATCCTTTTCCCAGCTACTAGTTGGCTTTTCCTTGACTCAATTCCTGCTCTGATCCTAGCTTCACTTGACCTCTGCCCCGGAGAAAATCAATGCACCTAGTCATGTAGAAGGGTTCACTACCGGACTAACCCCCTATGCCGACGGCCGGGGCCGTCGGCCTAGGTCTATGCCGACGGTGGGCCGACGGCCACCGTTGGCATACACCCGTCGGCGTAGATAATGTCAGCGTACTTGTGTCAGACCGTCGGCATAGAAAAGCCGTCGGCATAGGCATATATGCCAACGGCTTCCGTACGACCGTCAGCATAGATACACCGTCGGCAGAGAATATCACCAGATACTCAAGATCATCGTTGGCGCCGTCACACACGCTAACCAACCAGGGAGCGCCAAGTGGCACAGGTATGCCGACGGCCAGGCCGTTGGCATACCTGTGCCACGTGGCAGTCATTGGGCGCTCCTGGTAGCAGGGTATGCCAACCGCCTGGCCGTCGGCATAGATTTTCATCTACGCTGACGGCCTGGCTACCGGCATAAATGAAGGACTGGCCGTCGGCATACCTGCGCCATGTGGCGCTCCCTAGTTTCTCCTGGGCATGGCTGGCCGTCGGCATAGATCTGTTCAATTTTTTTATTTGCTCTGTTTTTTTCAATTTCCATTCAATCTGACAGCATTTAAATCCACAAAATATGGCAATATCCATATATACATAGAAATAAGACGAACCATCATCTGATACTCAAGATCATCATCAAATTCATCATCTAAAGATACTCAAGATCATCATCATCATCTAAAGATACTCAAGTTCATCATCTAAAGATCATCAACATCATCATGGTCGAAACTTCATGAACATAAGTATTGCATGGAACATCATCATCGTCATCTAAATAAACTAAAAAGTACGGAACATGGAAAGTATTGCAACAGAAGGAACACATCATTAGCCAAGACTAGGACCATCGTCGTGAGCACCGCCAAGACCAGCACCACTTTGCCAGATCGGAGTGACTGCGGTCGACGAAGCAGGAGTCGAGCCATCGGTCCCCTACATGTTTGAAAAGAGATTGTAAGGGTAAATATGATATGATAGTGTTGAATGAACTAGAGCTAGTTTGTCAATAGTGCTGAACGTACTAACCAGAGTCTGACTGCCTAGTGCCACCCATTCATCGAACGTGGGCACGTGTGGGGGTTCTCCAGCAGGTGGTGATTCGGGTCCCATTTGTGGTGGATCTGTGCGGTTAGTCCAAGACGCCAACGTAGCCTGAATGTTTGTTAACCAAGCAAACTAGAAGGTCAAAAGGAATGAAAGTGCAAATTTTAGCTTGGTTCTAAGAGGGCAAAACTAACCGCCATCATCTGACGATTGTAATCCTCGTTTGTCTCCACTCGTTGCAAGTACTCTCGCACCTCGAGATTCCGGTGCTCGACAAAGGCCTTATATGCCTACAAAATTTAGGTTGTTTCTAAGTGGGCAATGCTGAAAATAAAC